AGCCGAGAGGTGTGGGGCTGCTTGGGGTGGCTTGGGAAGCCCCCAGGTCCCACAGATTTGCAAAAGTGAGGCCCAGCACAGATGATGCTGTAGAAAGGCTCGTCTGTACGTCCCAGCGCCAGGTGGGAAGAAGGGTCTGCCCTGCTGCCTCTGAGCCCCTGCCTTGGCTGCAAGGTCCTCGGGGAGATTAAGCACTGCCTGGGAGTGGGACCAGGCCTTTTTTGGGTGCTCCTGCATGGAGCAGCTTTCCCCACGGCCAGCTCACGCTTTTCCCCCTGGGAGATGCGTATTTCTGTGGTGGTGCCTGCTGTGCTGGGGTGAATCCCTTCGTGCCTGGGGTGGTTCATGAGAGCAGCTCTGATGCGTGTCCCCTGTGGTGGCTGAGGCAGGATTGATCCCCCATTGACTCCAGGAGCTGTTTGTGCCCTTGACATCAAGCGCTCAGGGCTGTAACTCCCCCAGCCCATCCAAACTCCCATCTGCCTCAGGGCTGGAGCACATCAAGCTGTATCTGCTGGACCTGGCGGTCTCTTGGCTGAAACCCACTGGGGTGGGATCCAGGCTGTCTGCCTCTGCCAGAGCCCGAGCTGCTCACCGCTCCTGGCTGCAGACACAAAGCCTGATGGCGAGTGGCTTGTCCTGGTGCTGACCAGTGTCACCTTGGTCTCCCGTAGTGGCACCGGCTGCCCACAACCCAGGAGACCGATGGCTTCCAGGTGAAGCGTCCCGGCGACGTCAATGTGAAATGCACGCTGCTGCTCATGCTGGATCACCAGGTAGGGGCCCCGGGGCCGCGCGGGTGCTGGCCATGCCCTGCTGCCCTCCCTCCAGCACGGCTGCTCTGCACAGGGAGGTCTGGTGGGGGCAAACGGGCCTGGGCTGGGGCAGAGCCTTAACGTGAGGCCGGTGGGGGGCTGAGGGGCTGGAAAGGAGCGGAGACACGAGGGCGGTGTGGGGCAGCGTGCCCACGGGAGGGGCCCCTCCACGTGCCAGAGCTGCTTCACCCTGCCCGTCCCTGCAGCCACCACAGTACAAACTGGACCCGCGCCTGGCTCGCCTGCTCGGGGTGCACACCCAGACCCGCGCCAGCATCATGCAGGCGCTCTGGCTCTACATCAAGCACAACAAGCTGCAGGACAGTCACGAGAAGGAGTACATCAACTGCAACCGCTACTTCCGCCAGGTCAGCCCGCGCCCCGCTGCACCAGCACGGTTTGCTGGGGGGGAGCACCTTTCCCATCCCCAGTAAGGTCAGAAAAAGCATCTTTTCTGGCTCAAACCAGGCACACCAGACTGCCCAGTGCCAATTTATGCCCCTTCCCCAGGCTCTAGCTTGCATCCATAGAATCAATCATAGAATCATAGAATGGTAAGGGTTGGAAGGGACCTTAAAGATCATCTGGTTCCAACCCCCCTGCCATGAGCAGGGACACCTTCCACTAGACCAGGTTGCTCAGAACAGCTGCAGTTTTTTCTGCAGTGCTCACCTGCATAACTAAAAGTATGCAGAGCAATGAATTATTTTCATGGTGAAAAAAATGCACACATCCATCAGCTTGCCATGAACAAACCAGGGCTGGGCAAGTCCCCTCCTCCTGCCTGGCCCTTTCCGTGGTGGGTGGAAGGACCCATGGACAGCACGCACTCTGCTTTGCCCCTCCAGATCTTTAACTGTGTCCGCATGCGCTTCTCTGAGATCCCCATGAAGCTGGCGGGGCTCCTGCAGCACCCAGACCCCATCATCATCAACCACACCATCAGGTGGGCTCTGGGGGGTGGAGGGGCAGGGTACCCCGCACCGGGGTGTAGGATTGGGAGGGGGCAGGGGCTGCAAGGTCTCCAGCCTAAAGCAGCAGTGAGCCCAAGTCACCTGGGAGGGGAAGCATCAGCCAACCT